CATATGCATAATTGTGTATGGGCATTTACGATATCGGTTAGTAACTATGCGTATTATGCGCATAGGCACATCTCTAGGCAGGTGATCAGAAAAATGTTAGAGCGAAAGATAGGTATTCAAAATTCGGTTTTTTCATTGTGTTCGTGATGATTCGTGTGATTGGTAGAGTTGGAACATAATTTGCGTGCTGCTCGATGGTATAATACAATGTTTCGTGTGATTGGTTAGAATTGGAACATAGTTTGGATGCTGCTCGATGGTATAATACAATGATTCGTAAGTAGATTGCCTAAAATACATTAGCAATTTTCTTCAGCTTAACTAATTAATTCTTGATAATTTAAGATTGCCAGATGGTGAAAATACAAAAGTTGCAGATTTGCAAATAAATAATCCTGATCATGAACTTTACCCAGAAGTTGGACAAAAATCTTTTCAATTTCTTGTCGACACATAAGTTTTTCTTCTGTACCCTTACCATTCAATACAGAATAGATCGATTCACAACAAATCAAAACCTATCCGCACACGTAATTCCCGCTTGTAGCAACACAATCTTCATATTCGCCGGCACAAAATCAATCTTACTCGACTACTCAATCAAATGTGAACAAAAGTTTATTCGCAAGGTTCACGAGAGCATACCCGCTCACCAGATCATTGGTGATGCTTCCGCTGACATATGAGAACAATTATCGACCGGCACAAAAATGAAACGAACCGCAAAAAGCTGTAAATAGTTATGGGAGATTGGATCTCGGGATTGATTTGGAGTGCCCGAATGGTATTTTAGTAGGTTTCCGAAGGTTATGCCGGATAGAACTGTTCTGTTTATTAATGATACTGTTCGTGGATATGGCAAGTTGATAGAAAAACATCAATTCGCTCTTAAACCAAAATTAATAATCCATGAATCTAAATTCTTAATTAATTCATAATCAGATAAAAATCAAATATCAACCCAGTAAAAAACCCAGCACTCTTATGACCGAATAAAGAAAAAGGCTCAAAATGAACTGTATTCACCCAATCAGAAATTTCACGAGTGTATCATTCGGTCGCCATATTACAATGTTAACAAGTGATTTCCCACATATTGATTTTTGCTGATCAATAATGAAAGATTTTATCCATCATACCTGCTCAATGACACGTGAAAAATGTAAGAAAAGCCATGACATCAAAGTACACGATTACCGTGGAGACACCGCTGAATTCTAATATTATTGCTCCGGACCCGAGTTATCTTTTTACGTTGAGTAATGGTGTGCCGGCTTAAATGAGTGTTTCAAGTTTTGCTGGGAGTGAACAGTTCGACATAACACTTAAATGGAAATAAATAATTAATAATTAATATTAACATATTTATTATAGACTTTAATTTAGTTTATCTATTGAAGTGACATATAGTAATTCATAATGCACATATATCATTCATAAATAAAACGCATTCAACACGGTATTCTAATACAAGAGAAATATCATGACTCGCTCACCAAGTGGTCGTTTGTCTGCATCAGCATGTAATGATATTTTTGGTTATACACGTGGTGTATTTTTAATCTTGCTTTAAAGATAATGCATATAATTTACTCATATCTCGAAATCGAATGCGACGCCGATGATACCATATGACATATAAGAAATATTACTCTAAATAAGGACTGAAAAATTTTTGATGGAAAATTAAATCATTTTTTGTTATATCGATATGTGATGATGATATCAAACAATATATTTCCTTTTTTTATTATCAAACTTTTACAATTTAATATGACTATGGACGTCGAAACGAATAAACACATTCTAAACTTCGTTCATGCGTATAGAAGAATCTGACCGACGGTTATACGTAATTCGGTCATATTAACAATAAAACACAAAGTAAATTATTGACATTCAAGATATCGCATCATCATAGAATTAATAAAAATTTCAGATACTTTTAAGATTTTATTAAAAACTAATATTATTATTATAAGAAAGTTTTGTACAGCTTTGCATAGCAAAATTTTTGTTAAGTTGAAATTGACAAATAAAATAGAGTTTATTAACTATTAATATAAAATCATTTTTTTATAAAATAGCTTATTTTTTATTATCCTATTTTTATAATTAAATAATATAAATATCTGTAAAATATATGTGCATAACTATTTAATAATTATAAAATAAATACAAATTGTAAAAGTAATATAAAATAAACAGATATATAATATATATATTTATATAAAAATTAATATAAAAATAGATAGAAGTATTTATTAATAATAATAAAAAATTTAGAACATCAAATACTATAAATTTATTTCTTTATATTTGTAATATAAAAAATTCTTATTTTATTATATTAATAAAAATCTTAATATATGTGAAATTAAGAATAATACATATTTAGTTTATAAATATTATAAAAAAATTTTCTAAATTAATACTATATTATAAATTAAAAGCAAAAGATATATAAATATATTTATAATAAAGACAATAAATTATAAATATTTATTACTTATAAGAGTATTTTACATATATTTTATTAAATTTAATAAGAATAAAAATGAATTATTATTATTGCATTATCTTAAAGTAACTATGAACTGATAAATAAAATTTTTGCAGATTATTAATAAAAAATAGCTAAATGTAAGATTTAATTTGATTTATTTATTAATTTAATTATTTTTAGTATGTTAATATAATTTTTTGCATTTTCTTGTTTACTGTTAAATATATATTTATAATTAGTTATTTTTATAACTTTAAAGTAATCAGAATTATAAGAAATAATTTAAATTAATAATTAGATAGCACATAATAATTATTTGTATAATAATATGTATTAAATCAAATTAAATTAATTATAATAATATTTATATATTCAGAATGAAATTAATCTTCAAAAATAGGAATACAAAACAAAAATAAAATACAAAAAAGTATAAAATAAAGATTTAAACTCAAGAAAATAATAATTAATCAAAATTATTATATAAATTCTTTAAAATATATTAAAATTATTATTAAAATTTAATATATTTTAATATATTTTAAGTATTATTTAAAATAATATATAAAATATTTAGAAAAATATTAAATAACTTTGAAAGAATTTTAAATATTTATATAAAATTTTATTATAAATAATTTATATATTTAGAATATTAAATAAATATAATTTTCAAAACATGAATTTAATTTTTAATTTTGGTTTTAATTTCTTATTTTAATAAAATGATTTCAAAAATTAAAATTAAATTAAGTTTTAATATATAATAATATTATTATTAAAAAATAAAATAATATTTATATTTAATATATTTTAAAAATTATTTATATAAATTCTAAATATATTATTTTTAAAATATTTTATAAAAACATTATTGTAATAATTTAATTATCTAAAATAGAAAAATTAATTATTTAAAAAATTTAATTTTTGAATTATTATAAATAGAATATTAATTTATTTAAGTAATATAACTATTATTAAATCTCTTTTATTTTATAAAAATTATTTATATTATTTCTGAAAAATTTATAATTATTTGAATTTCTGATTCTTTTTTGATTTTTAAAATAAGATATTTTTTATAGCCTCCTATTGTTCTTTAAATAAAAATTTTAAAGTTTCGTGCTCATGTTCAAATGTGTTTAAGAGAAATCCAAAGAACAACAATTTGTGAGAGATACTGTAAAACAGAATTTCAATGTGATCAATTTATTAGTCTAATTTTAGACTAATACATGTAATTATATCAATATGGGATATTTAGCAAAATGACAATTACATTCTAAAAATAGATTAAAAAAGCAATTTATTTTTTGGTTCAGTGACAGCAGCAACAGCAACTATAGCAACAACAGTGTCAGCAAAAACAACGACAGCAACAATAGAAACGGCAACCATAGCAACAACCACAACAGCAACAGTAACAGCAACATCGAAATACATGTAGATATTTCCTTAAAAATCATAATATCACCTTAACAAGTTAAAGTTACCCAGAATTTTAAAAAGACTAAATCTTTTCCTCAATAGTGAATTTTGATATGCTAAAAGTGAAACAATGGCTTCTCTTAAATTTCGTTAAGCGTAACGTTGCTCAAGAAAAGTATGCGGAAGTTTCGCTCTTTTGTACTATTCATCAAAGTTTCTCGAACTTTCCTTATTGACCCTTCTTTATTATAATATCAATATTCATGACAAATTTCATATTTTTTAATAGAGAATCTTATTTTAAAGATTTCAAGTTAAAATTCTAACTAGTGAAATACATGTTTAATTCAGAATGTAAATTTGCTTTTTAAATCTGAATTATTTTACTCAGATACAGCTTATTATCTTATAAAATAAAATTTTTTATGCAATCCATTAGCATATGCATGCAATTCAGTATCTTATAAAATTCATTCCTTTGAGTAAGGCAAGTTAACGTAGAATTTTGTGTTTGTAGATGTTCCATCGAAAAGATATGGGATAATTCTGATTTAGGGGATTCAGTAAAGTCAACATAAGGAATTGGGAATTCTATCAAAGAGATATTTTTTGCATCGACAAGTTAATAAGATAACTCAGACAAAGTCAGCGTTAGAAATTTGGTATTCCATCGAAGAGAGGTTTGGCACATCGAAAAATTGATGGGATGTTTTGGATTCAGGTAAATTAGCGTTAGTTTGTTTTTCCATAGAAGCGAGGTTTGGCACATCGGCTAATTGATGGGATGATTCGGATGCAGGTAAATTAGCGTTAATTGGGGTTTCCATCGAAGAGAGGTTTGGCACATCGACTAATTGATGGGATGATTCGGATGCATGTAAATTAGCGTTAGGAACTGACGTTTGCGGGTACTGCGTCGAAGAAATATTTAGCCAATTGACATGTTGTCTAGACAATGCAGCTGATAATTGGCTATATTGTTTTTTTCACCACGAGACAATGTTTTCATGATTTTGATGCGAATTGAGAAATTTCCTTCGATTTTTTTACTTTCTACCCATCTTAAAAGTTTCATTAACCTTTATACGAAAGAGAAAAACGAGCTACATTTCCGTTTTATATTTTTAAAGTCGTTTAAACAAGGAGGTTTATAGTATTTCTCGAACACTTTTTCGTCGGTATCGTTTTCATTATGAGGAACGAAATGGAAATTCATAATTGCGGAAAAATAGCTTACCTGAATTTAACCATAAATCTCGACGCGGAAGGACTGGACTTTATACAATTTTTCGCAATATATTTACAAAGCGCACAATGCATTCATTTGAATAATCAAAGTAAATGAAAGATCAAAATTGTACATTTTTCATTATAAACGAAACCACTAATAGCTTTCACTTTTATCATTTTGTTATGTTAAAGGCTCGTACGTATTTATTCGTATACAGCCTATTTTATTCAATAATAGCAACATAATCCAATAACTTCAGGATATATGAAGCGATATAGGATAAAAAGGGATTTAACGATTCAAGATTCATATATTCAATACACAATGTATATAAAATAAATACACGAATATGACATACATAATGTGTACGTATATTACGCACTTATGACTAGCATATATACGGCGTGATCTGAATGCTCTTGTAATTGGGATTGCAAGTGATATTACAAATGATATTACTCGCAAAATATTAAATAACGCTTAATTTATTAGAAAATGTATACATACATACGATACGATCATATAAATTCGAATCAGCATACTCTCTAACCCTCGTTATAACAGACTTCGAAAACGAGGAGCAAATGCATCAGAGCGGAAATTTTATACTGTTATTTTTGTTTATAACATCAGCCTGAGAGAACATTTAATATTAAAAGATAATAATACACTAACAAATAAATAAATATGATTTTAAATTTCTTATATTAATTTTTTAGTTAATTATTAAATTTTAATAATATTATTATTTTTATTATTATTATTATTATAATATTTTTTTACATTATTTTCATAATAAGCAAATACATAAATCCTTCTGTGTGTGCTGCCGCTATTTTAAAAATTCAAATAGTCAAGGTGAAATTTACTTATCCTGGGCTCAAGCTGTTTTTGGTGAACAAGCGTCACTAAATATGATTGGCGTCATATTTTACGATAGCACAAGTAATTTAAGTTTTCTATTTTTATTGATCCGAAATCATATTGTAATATTAGTATTAGTTACCTCGTCATTCCAAATGGATTTTTATTTCTATACTTGTCCTAATTAACTAGCAAATTTTCTCAATCAGACGCGTTAAAATTTTTTTAGAAAGACGCGCATGTTCTGATTTAAGATAATCTTGTTCTTATTACGGAGCCCTTCTTTGCTTTTTTTATGACAACTAGAGAGATGGTACATAAAGTTTTTTTCCATATCGAGATCGAACTATTGATTACGAAATAAAATGTATTGCCGATAAAATGTTCCACAATATAAATAAACTTTTCTCGTGGTATACATATACTTTGTTTTTTAAGTACAGAATACTGCACATCTATTTCTGTAAAGTTTTAGTAATACATGTATATGTGAAACATATTAATTTCTTGATATCAAGAATATCTATAATAATATTCTTATTTTAATTCGTTATCAATATGCGAGTTCACATATTACATAATGTTCTTACATGTACAGTGTGTAACAAAAGTCTTTGGACAAAATCTGGCTGCAGGGCAAGAGTGTAGCGGAAATACGCCGCCTAACGAAAATTCCCAAATCAACCATCTATTACAATATTAAAAAATTGAAAGAAAACGGAAGTACAGCTCACAA